CCACTTTGAAAGGACCTTCAAATGGAGGGCTAAGTGGTGCTTTTATTTTGTCACATCTTATCCAGACGTGCGTGCAATTGCTTAGGTCTTTAGGTACATATACGGCACGCGATTGTTCGCGAGTATTAATTGGCTTAAGTTTGGACATATGGTCCCGTAGTTGATCTACGTAGTTTCCTAAATTAAGTTTTTGACTGTTAGTATTGGGGTTAATAAATTCACCTGGTAGTCTCAGAGTTGTTCCGAAAACCAGTTCCGCAGCTGAACACTGTGCGTCAGTTTTGACAGATGTTCGTATTCCCAACATAACTAATGGTAGGAATTCTGTCCACTGATTGGGGTTTGAGTGAGATATAAGGGCGGTTTTTAGCTGACGGTGAAAACGTTCTACCATCCCATTAGCCTGAGGATGATATGCAGTGCAGCGTATCCTATTGGAGCCTAGAAGTTTAGCCAAGTTATTAAATAGTTCGGATTCGAATTGCGCTCCTCTATCCGTCGTTATTGTTATGGGTGTACCAAAAATGGTTACCCAGTTCTGCATGAAAACTTTGGCTACTGTTTCCGCTGTGATGTCCGCTATCGGGATGGCTATAGGGAATCTGGTAAATCGATCTATGCATGTAAAAAGATAATTAAAACCGTTTGAACGAGGTAAAGGACCTACCAAGTCGATATGCACATGGGCAAAACGTGCATCTGGTTGCGAGAAAACACCTATGGGTGAATTTGTGTGACGATTAATCTTTGATTGTTGACATGCTGAACACTCTCTAACCCATTTGTGTACATCCTTCTGTAAATTCGGCCATATATATCTGGCATTGATTAGTTTTGTTGAAGCTTTCGCGCCAGGATGAGACAAAGAATGAAAGTTATTATATATCAACTTTCGCATATTTTTGGGAACGAAAGGTCGCGGCATTGCCTTGGTCGTGTCACAATAAATTAGAATACCATCGATAGGTGATGGGAATTGTTTTAAATTAAGACTTGAATTGTTTGTTTTGAGTAGGTTTTGTAATTCTAGGTCCTCCTCTTGTTCGTGTCTTAACGTCTCGAAGTTTACTGTAGACTGCTGTAGCACGTTCATTTCTAGTCTGGATAAAGCATCTGCCGCCTGATTGTCCTGACCTTTGACATGTCGGATATCGCTTGTGAACTGTGATATATAGTCAAGGTGTCGGACTTCTCGAGGTGAGTATTTATCGGCTCTCGCTTTTAATGCATTCGTCAGTGGTTTATGATCCGTAAAGACTATAAATTCCCTACCTTCTAACATGTGTCGGAAGTGTTTAATGGTCAGGTAGATTGCAAGAAGTTCTCGCCCGAAGGTAGAATACCTTGTTTCGGCTGGAGCGAGTCTTTTCGAGAAAAAAGCAATTGGTTTCCAGGCGTTTTTAACCAGTTGGTTAAGGGTACCGCCTACTGCTTTATCTGAAGCGTCCACCATCAAAGCAAGTGGGGAAAGAGAATTCGGATATATCAACGTAGTTGCTTCAGCCAGTTTATCTTTAAGCTGTTTAATAGCTTCGATGGCGTCAGAAGACAGTTTGAATTCTTTTGGTTTTCCTTTAAGTGAATCTGTCAAAGGTTGCATTAATTGTGCACAACCTGGTATGAATCTGCGATAGAAGTTAATTAGGCCTAGAAAACTTCTCAGTTGTGTTAGAGAACTAGGTACGGGGTATTGTTTGATAGTATCCACTTCTTTTTTTATAGGTTTAATCCCTTCTGGGCTTATTGTGTGACCGAGAAATTCTAAAGTTTGAACACCGAAAACACACTTACTTTGATGTATGTTTATTCCATGTTCATCCAGTCTTTTCAACACTGCTTGTACATGCTGTTCGTGTGATTGCAAATCGGGGCTGGCAATTAACAAGTCGTCTATATACCCCTGCGCAAATGGCATATCTCGAAGTAGATTATCTATGAATCTTTGAAATGTCTGTGCCGCATTTCTCAGGCCGAATGGCATGCGTACAAACTCGAATAAGCCAAAGGGTGTAGTAATAGCTGTCTTGGGAATATCTTCATCAGCCACCGGGATATTGTGATATGCCCTGACTAAGTCAATTTTAGTGAATATGTTCATACCCTGTAAACCGTTGGTGAAATCTTGGATATGAGGTATTGGGTACCTATCAGGTACGGTTTGACGGTTTAGGGCTCTGTAATCCCCGCACGGTCGCCAGTCACCTTCATTCTTCTTTGGGACCATATGCAAAGGGGATGCCCATTGACTATCAGAGGGACGGATGATACCCAGTTGTAGCATATAATCAAACTCGGCCCTAGCGATTTTGAGCTTATCTGGTGCTAGTCTCCTGGGTTTTGCAAACACCGGTGCACCTTCGGTTTTGATAGTGTGACTCACTTTTAGTTTGTCTTTAGAAGGCTGTGGGTTTGGTTTAGTTAAGTTTGGAAATTCCGCGAGTATATCTTGGAATTTCGCTGTTGTTACTGGGGGAGTTTGAATCAAGTTAAGAGAGTTGATGTGACTTTCTTTGCCTTTTGTGTAATACGAAGTTTCTTTTAGTGTTAATCGCCGTTTCTTGGTGTCAACTAGAAATTCGTATCTCTCTAGAAAGTCCATCCCCAGTATTGCCAGATCTAGGTCGGCTACCGTGAAAACCCAAGGGAATTGCCTCCTGAACCCCAAATCTAGGGTTAAAGTTTTCTGCCCAAATGTCGCAATTTTAGTTTTATTTGCAGCTTGAAGTGTAATTGATGATGTTTCTCGACTAATCTCAGTTTTATTTCGAGGGATGATGCTAAGAGCAGCGCCAGTATCCACCAAGAAATTCAAGCCCGAGTTTCTGTCTCTAACATAAAACAAGCGACTGTTTAGGCGCCCCTCCTCAGTCGTCGCGACCTGGGGAGGGGTTACTCGTTTCCCGCTGTCTTAGAATTATGCTTAGGCCAGGCGCATGGTTGCATGCACTTGGTTGAGTTGACACCAAACTTCCAGTGGTACCAACAAAACTGCCCAGATTGTCTGGACATTTGTGACCTGTTTTGTGACTTGGATCGTGGTCGTTGTGGTGACCTGCTCCTGTTTCTATGACCCATTTGCATTCTGGTGACAGCCTCAGTGAGACTCTTAACACTCGCAATGAGTCCTTCTATTACGGGGTCTTTTGCTGATTCTACTTTTTGTGTGTGATTTATTGTGCCTGATCCAGTTGGAGGACCTCTTTCCATTATTCTGTCGGCTATACGCGCTAAATGAGATAATGAGGTTTCAGGATCCTGTGCATCCAAACAGTGTTGGACGTAGCATGGGAGAGCTTGTATCCATCCTTGTTTTAGGACTGCTTCACCCACTGTGTTATCACCCACTAAGACTTGGAGGTGACGTAAAAACTGTGACGGCGACCGATCACCTAGTGTTTCACCTTGAAAAAGTCTTTGGATTCTTTGACTATCTGATAATGATAAACGGTTCATTATCTCTCGTCTTAAGATGGTGTATGGTTGTGGTGATGGTGGACTTAAAATCAAGTCACGGACTTCTTTGGCGACTGAAGGAGGAAGGATAGAACACAAGTCTCTATAGCGAATCCCTTCAGATTTGATATTGTGTCTCGTGAAATAATGCTCTAGTTGAGCAAACCACAACTCAGGATCACTACGATCAAATTCTGGAAGTCGGGATTTCGTAGTCATAACAGTGTCTATCTCCACTGGTGACAAATCCTCCAGATTATGGGTTTCTATTGAGTCTGACATGAGGTATGTGACAAATATAGCAATAAAGTTAGCACAAAAAGTGGTTACTATAACACGAATAACTTAAGATAATACGGAATAAACTAGTTATATACTCAAATTAGTTTACGGATAATCAGGTCTACTTTTACGATTAAGTAAAAAAAATGTTAATAACAGAAATTAGGTTAAATTTGTGTTGTTGTTGTTTGGGGTCAACTCCTAACCAACCAACCTGAGCTGTTACAAGTTCCATCAGGGTACAATACTAGGACCTCTTCTTTTTCTTGATTTATGCAAACGATCTTCCACATCAGGCATAGTCAGATTTATTAACTTTCACTGACTATGCGAAACTCTGGAGAAAAGTACGAAACCAAAGGGATAAACTGGCACCTCAGGATGATCTGACTCGACTCCAAAGTTAGGTAGATGACAACGGTCTTACATCTAACACTTCAAAGTGTATAGTAGTCCATCTGAGACATGTTGCAGACTACAGTTACAACTTAGAAAGCTCCTCTCTAGAAGTATCCCAAGTTGAGAAAGATTTAAGAGTGTTGGTACCCTATGGTCTGAAGTCTTTTACTAACTATGACAAAACTGCCTACCGAGCAAACCCTGTACTGGTAACGTTGAAGAGCATTTTTGGTCAGTTTGACGGAAGAACTTTCCAGATAATCTCCAACAGTTTCATTAGTCCCCATTTGGAGTACGGAACCACAGAATTTCCTCCCTCACTCCACAAGGATAAGGACACTCTGGAGCGTATCCCACGGCGAGCTAAAAATTATTTCGGGGACTCAAATTCAAACCTTATGAAGAGCGCCTCTGGTCACTCAACATTTACTCATTAGAGTACAGACGTATTAGAGGTGATCTAATGGCTTACAGCATCCTAAATAGTTCTGGGCATCCCCTTAAACACCTACTTAAGTTTATCTCCAACACAAATCTAAGGAGTAACACACAGAAACTAGAGACACAACACAACAGAACGGACTGTAGACACACCTTCTACTCCTTCAAAGTAGTCTGATGTTGGAATTGGCTTCTGACCAAGCTAGTCTAGTCGACTTTCGAAGTCATTTAAGACGAAACATGATATATTTTTAGGTTTTAAGGACAATATCTCACTATGATTTATCAACTTATTTTCGTTTTCCTCCTTTATCAATAATGTACTTTGGTCCTTTTTTAGAGGTATCTGTGATCCACTACTACTAGACACGGAGGCCCATTATGCAAAACGTACTTCTATTCTGTCCGGAACCATTTGAACCATTTAACCATTTGAATCAACGAATGGTAATAGAGATATTTGCACACAACACGCGGTAGTTACGAAAATTTACGATTCCTGGGCGTACAGTTATTGTTTGCTAGATATGCGTTCTACACTGTTATGTTTCATTGTATGTTTGTCTGGTTCTGTAGTGCTTGCTAGAAAAAAAATCAATGAACCTGCCTCAGCTAACCCTATTACTTTTAGTGTAGATGGTTGCTTGCTATTATCAGCTATCATGAAGATTCACATATCAAAATCAGTAAGTTCCCCTGTCTTGTTTTGTTGTCATCGTATATGATTCTTAAAATCCGTATGAATTAATACTAATACTCTTTTCGATGTCAGTGGTTTTACTGTGACTAGGAGCTTTTTAGTTCTTTTTGGGAAGATTATTAACTCCACTGTGTTAAAACGGTAATATGCGGAACTCTCCGTTTTCAAACTCTTGTGGTTATGTGCGTTTCTCTACTCGTTCTGGGTTTCTGTGGGGTTCCATAAATGCTGTGCTGATACAAGCGAACTAAAAGGGAAATAAAGGCTGATTTTGGATAGAATTCTTATCAGGAGTCAGTGTAGATGCAGGCGAAAATGTATCAGTATGTCACCTTTCTCCACAGCTCAGGGTTAGTAGTGTGATTTCTCCCGAAATTTTCCCGCTAAATGTCCACGTTCCCCCCAAATTAGCACCAAATTACCTTCTCCCCCCAAATTAAAACCTAGTTATCTGATCTTTCACAGTATCAACAAGTGAAATAGGTAGTTTTCAGCGAAAGGCAACGTACTATTTTACTGTATACTTCGGAAGTCAACATCTAATTCCCTATGTCAAACAAATTATATGCGCGTTCGACAGTAATCAGCATAGTGAGTTTAGTGAGGACAATTCATTAACGATTTTCACATATATAGTTGTCAAGATCATTTACATAGAGGGAACAGCAAAATGCCCACATTGAAATGACAGAAAAATTTGTCTTCAACCGTAATCTAAAAAGTTAGTGAGAGGTTCATGTATAAAGAAAACGTCTTAGATACTGAGATACTCATGCACACCAACGTTTACCCGCTACATCTAGTTATTTTTGAAGTACTCGATCCGTATGAAAAGCTTAGTACGGGTTTAAAGGATATTTAGCAAAAAATATTTACACTAAATGTAACTTGCACAATAATAGTGTTTTCGGTGATAAGCAGCGTTTTAATTACTTAAATCCTAAAACAAAGCCGGAATTGACAATTATGGATATTTTTGTAAAATGTTTATATTAAAATTTATTATCCAACATGGTATTGCAAACAGATGACGGCACCTAAAAACGAAAGTGCATGTTCACGGCCTAAATCACATTTACATTATCTTTCGATAATAACGCTTGTTCACTTTATCCCTCGTATCATGAAAGAACCTTCGAGTAGCCAAATGTTTCTAAATTCTTTCTCGCTGACGTTGAACGATAGAAATTGGGATGTTAACACATCTTTTAAATAACGTAAACTAGAATGTAGTCTTGCTTCGTATAGCATTATGGAATACGTACTTCGTAGTGCTCCTTTCTGTAGCAGTACTCATCAACGTAAAGTTCATTACCGATTCCGGCTTGATCAGGTATGATAATACAGACCTGAGGGACGTTTTCGGATCGCAATCCATCAGCCTAGTAATCATCGCCATCTAAATAGTAAATAAGCCAAACTAAATCTGCCTACTTACAAATTTATTCCTTGTTGCTTCTTGCTAAATAAACATATCTAAAGCTTGCAATTCGTCTTCAGTTGACAAAGGGGTATTTAAGCCAGCTAGTCCCCCGCTAAATTGTTTTGACTGATGTTCTGTTGTTGGTGTTTGCAACAACAGTATCATTTAACTCATGTTTGCAGACTACTCACAACCTCAACCGATAGTTTTTTTATTTTTGCATTTGTTTTTGATAATTTTCAAGACTTCAGAATATTTCAAATAAAACCTACCACAGATTGCAATGTTATTAGGTGTTGAGATACTGACTGACGGTGAATGCTTTACTTCGGTTAAATTAATTCATTCACAGTTATGCAGATAACAGATTTACTTGACAATTGGAGAAGTTGATGTTTCGAACAGCCTAACTTGAGGATACTCCATCCAACCGTACCCAACTTGCATTTTCGCGACATCCAAGTCGACAGAGTCATACAAGTAATCTGGCTGGCGTTTAATTACTCCTGTAGAAAACCAGAAACTAACTGATTTACCGTCTGGGCTTTTCTGTGTGCATTGGTGCGGTGTTCCCATCCTGCGAGTGACAATATACAACTTGGTGGACGAGTTGACCAAGTCTAAAGCACAACTGAAATCATCTGCAAGGGAATAATTAATGTTTACAACTAACCAAAGTAGTGAGAAGGCGCACATTTTACAGTGGAATAACTGTCGTCCGAATCCGCTTTGTTTCTTAACGCCATGTCCACTAAGGTTATTGGATAAATGTAGGGGTTTTCAGTGTGTAATGTTATTCGGTAGTTTCTTTCATTTGACATTTTTAGTATCCGTTTGGATCCAGGTTGCGTCTTCGTCAATTATTTTACCACCATATCGTCTTTATGCATGTTTTATATCAAGTATTTTAAGTGTCTAATTGATTGCTCATGTAATGCTGTTTTAGGACGCTGTTAAGCAATCAGAATCAGTGTTTACAACCTACATTAATTCAACAAATGCTAAAAGCATCAACTCCAGCGGCGCATGCATCAATTCCACTAGCAAAGAATACAACCTCTTAAACTTGGGTTGGAAGCCGAATGGTTCTGAGGGCAATTGGAATATATCATTTAATTTCTCTGAGACCCATCCTGGTTATTATGGTTTAACTAATGTATACTTATTGTACTGGTTGGATAAATCGGGTCAGTTTATTATCTAGTTTTCTTATGACATTTCGTTTCATAAACTAAAATTTTTTCAGTAGTAGGTTATAAATTTTGTAATTCCATGTCACTGGTCGCAATCATTCATCGTTCCAATATATAAGAGAGGGTTAAAATCATCCTGTAACAACCATAGACGGATTACTTTAGCTAATATAGCTTCTAATATACTAGCCTCGATAATTATCGGACGCCTAACAAGGACTCGTGAACTGCAAACACGAGAGAATAGGACTGGCTTCAGACTTGGTCATGGCTGCATCGACCACATATTCACCATTCTTCAGGGTCTCGAACACAGACATACTTGTCGGCGTCCGACAATGGTGGTCTTTCTTGACTTAAAAGCAGCATTTGACTCGGTAGACCGCGAGATTCTGTGGCAGTGTCTGTCCTTGAAAGGCATACCTCAGAAGTACGTAGACATTGTGAAGGCTATTTACTCGAAAAGTACCAGTTGAGTCAGAGCTTCTGGCGAACTGTCATCTGATTTTGCAACCTCAAGTGGTGTCCGTCAAGGCTGTTCATTATCTCCATTTTCGTTGGACTTCATCATTGACATAGTGATGGAAACAACGTTCTCATCGACTGCATTTTCGGGCATTGATCTCCCACCAGGAGATCCACTTATCGACTTAGAATACTCAGATGACATAGTCCTGTTTGGTTAAGATGCTGATAAAATGCAGTCTTTCGGTAGCACTAAACAACAATGCCAGAATGTTTGTAATGCGCTTCTCTCCCTCTAAATGCAAGTTGTTGCTTCAGGACTGGTCTGCGTCAACATCGGAACTAAGGATAGGGAGTGAAGTAGTCGAACGCGTTGACAACTTCACTTATCTTGGAAGTCTGATCAGCGCTAATGGGTTGGTATCGGACGAAATCTCAGCACGGATTCAAAAAGCTCCTTTGGCTTTCGTCAACTTACGTCACCTATGGCGAAGGCGAGATATCCGTCTATCAATTAAGGGACGGGCATACTGCGCGGCAGTCCGTTCTGTTTTAGTTTACGGCAGCGAAACATGGTCTTTAAGAGTAGAAGACACTCGTAAGCTACTAGTATTTGACCACAGATGCCTTAGAAATATTGCTGGCGTCTGCTGGGATCACCGGGTAAGTAATAGTGAGGTTAGACGCAGGGTATTAGGGAATGATGGTAAATCAGTTGATGAGATTGTGAACCTTCATCGACTGAGATGGTTGGGCCACGTGTTACGTATGCCCAAACACCGATTACCACGACGTGCAATGCTAACCGGTGTTAGAGATGGTTGGAAGAAAATAAGGGGCGGCCAAACCAAAACGTGGCATCAGTGCTTGAGGACACTAACTTCTAGTTTGAGCCATGTTGGTAGATGCAGACTACTTGGTTGGTGTCCGCGTGACTATCGTAACCAATGGTTGGAGACTTGGTGACATGGCTCAGAATCGATCACAATGGCGTCGGTGTATACACTCCCTGTCTTCCCTTAAACTAAGGGATTAAAATCACTTCATATCTTTCTTTCTAGGAACTAATTCTTTCTTCCTATACTATATCCTTATTTCAATCTTTCTTTTATATATTTCAACCATTGACCTAACCACTCCTATGAATCCGGTGTTCATCTTGTTGTGCTAATAAGATGTGGCAACCTGGACCGATGCACATATGTGTCTGGTCCCACTTTGTAGCTGACTGGCTGACTATTTTCTTAGGGATGCTGTAGTGTTGAAGAAGCTTCTATATTGTTGTCCTGTCCACGCTATCAAATGCTTTCTCGTAGTCAATGAAGTTGATGTAGAGTGATGAATTCCATTCAATTGATTGTTCCACAATGGTCCGTAGAGTTGCGATTTGGTCTGTACACGATCTATCCTTACGGAATCCTGCCTGTTTGTCTCGAATTTGGGCGTCTACGGGGTCAGTTGTAGGTCTTAGCTAAGTGTCTTAAGGGTATTTAAGCAATTTACGACACTGATTATATTTCTTGCTAGTCTTTATGTCTAGTGTTTTGAAGTGTTTTGTAACTACATTATCTTTACGGTAACCATTGGTTTAATGGCTGAAATACTACTGACTAAAACATTATTGAATGGTATTAGCACTACTTAGTAGACATTTATGTAAATGTATCCTGTTTTAAAATGCGCTTGTTCTCTACAAATGAAAATTACTGACGGGTCTCTCAAGGTATGGTTCATATACTACTCTCCACTTTCCTCACCAGGCTTTGACGAGTTAAGTGTTGATTTGTAACCTTCACTGGCCAACTTTGTCCAGTATGCAAGGCTACATTAGGTTAACTGGTTTCACACACCTTTGTTTCTCGGGATGAAATATATGGACTGAACACTAAGTCGTAGCATACTTGAACGTTTGTTGCTTACGTTTGCCTGATAATCGTGGTAAACAACCAGAGACGTCGGGTGACGCTTCAAAACCAGTCACTGACGCAGATGCATTAATTCTTTACCTTCCTCTAGATCTTGAAACAATGTAGAAATGTGTCATGTTTTACGTTGCATAAGACTGATGACTAAGATCTCGAGTTTCAATAGTATTTCTTGTTTTATTCCGCCAACTATCTCAATCTAGATTAAGGTCCGGACACGATAGACTATCTGGTTTAACCTTGGGTCTGGAAATGTGTGAATCCGAATCGGGACTGAAGACCATAGGTAGATAGACGAAAACTATTCTATTACCCGGTCAGTTGACAAGCAAGATAGAAGACAAGTCAACTGGAACCAATACTCGGTTTATTTTTTATTCCAAATTCAGATCAGTGCAAAAACATGAATAAATAGATGTTTAACGTGGCCACAACGCCAAACAATTAGAAAAATATAATTATGTCTAAACTGGGCATTAGGGTAGAAAAAATAGAGTACTAAATGTTACGTTTAAATTACAATAGCTTTGGAACAGAAATGGGTATGTCAGTGAATCATGCATCAAACTGAAGCTTATGGTTTATAGAATAACGTGGAGACGAAACTAAATGTTTGTATCTTACAATTCTTGAATTAAGTGAAATAACGTCCACAAAACAACTGTAGTTTGTCATGGCTTTGTTTCTCTGTCCATATAATTTATATTTAGGGTTTCTCTCGTGAAACAGTTGAATGGTTTCCGCGAGATGTATTTTTTCTTAATTTCTTCCTCATCTGAAAGTTGGATCTTTCTTTGCTCTTCAAGCAGTAAAACTCAAATTTACCCACAAAAATGTGCAGATAAAAACAATTGATTTATTATTTGCGTTAATTTATAGTCAATATACAGATTAATACAGATGTGATCGATCATCTAATAAATGCAAGATCATATGAATCACAAATTAATCTACAAGAATACTCGCTTAAAATTCAGTTGTGTTTGATAGTAAGAAAGAATTTTTAGAGAAAATCAATCATACTAGGGTTAATCCGATTTTCTAGTTGGAGTTAATACTAATAGTATCTAATGTGACAAAACTATTGTTGTTAGAGTATTGTACTTATAAAAAATAACACCAGAATAGTTATTTCAGAGGATTATTTTCATCATTTTATTTCTCATAAATTTGTTTAATTTATTTTTATGTATTGCCTTAAAATTCGTGTAATTTCATGTTTACTTCATTATATAGTTTGTTAAAGTTCTACTAATTGTAATCTTATAACCTGATATTAATTTGTATGGTATTCATAGTAAATCACAGAAGCTAATCAAATTCTAAGTATATTTATTTTTTTTGTGTGATCAGGACAAAGTTTTGGAAATAATCTTTGATTTTATTGTTGAATTCACCGTAACGTTCCACTCTCTAATTCCTAAAAACAGTATTTATTTTTCTCTTACAAAAGCCATTACTTTTAGGAAGCTCCCTATATATCTAAATTTTGATTATCAGTAATTTTTAATAGCTTCAGTTCTCAATTGCTGTGATAAAAGATCATCTGTTTCTCGATAAATGCTCCCATCTGATAGTAAGAATCAATATATCGATCAGCTGTCATAATTTCCCTCGTTCCATTATAGATTTAGCTTCTTAATCTCAAAATAGTCCTTTTGATAAATTTAGCTGATGCAATTAGGAGATGACGTTTATCAAAACCAAGTGTTGTATTGGCCGATCACGTAGTCCTGATAAAGTTCTATTAGCATTAATTACTGTGATCGTATCTAAAGAAAGCTTCATTCTTAAGCTCACTCTCGTTAAAGATTGGTCCCCTCTTAATTATGAAAACTGTCCTTATTACTTTGGATTCTAAATTTGAGAGTTTACCACTAGGCTTTTAGCATGAGGCCCTAAACTTCTAGACATTGGGATGACTCCAACTGGTGACAAAAGTGTGTTTGTGACCTATCCATTCTCGGAATTTTAGAATTCATTTTCATCACTGGTTTGTAGTCAGATTTTTCAACTGACTTAGGTGCACTCTACGTCCACCAGTTCGTCTTAAGCACTGTATGCCCACTTTAGCCTTTACTTTTGTAAAAGCACTCCTAACACTTGAAAACAATGAGTAGAACTTCCATGACAAATTTTATAAACGTATAACTATGCTAAGGAGTTTTGGTGCTCCTTGTATGGGAGGTTAATAACCATCCAACTCGGTGTTTTAAAATGTTATCAAACATAATTCTGAATAAGACTTTCGCTACGTTCTTAAACGTAAGATGGAACTTTTCAACATTTCATCAAGCCTTTTTATTCGATATATTTTTATTCGATATATTACCACGACGTGCAATGCTAACCGGGGTAGGGGATGGTTGGAAGAAAATAAGGGGCGGCCAAACCAAAACGTGGCATCAGTGCCTGAAGTCACTAACTTCTAGTCTGAGCCATGTTGGTAGATGCAGACTACTTGGTTGGGGTCCGCGTGACTTTCGTAACCAATGGTTGGAGACTCTTGGTGACATGGCTCAGAATCGATCACAATGGCGTCGGTGTATACACTCCCTGTCTTCCCTTAAACTAAGAGACTAAAATAACTTCATTCTTTCTGTCTACGAACTAATTCTTTCTTCCTATACTATATCCTTATTGCAACCTTTGACCTAACCACTCCTATGAATCCGCTGTTCATCTTGCTGTGCTAATGAGGTATGGCAACCTGGACCGATGCACATATGTGCCTGGTCCTACGTTGCAGCTGACTGACTGACTGACTTTATTCGATATGCGGTGATCTGGCTTAAAATAAAGGCTGATGGCTTCCTATGAACGCTAGTTTATGAACCTCTATTTTGATTCTGTCTAATTTTGTGATTCAGTATAATTTCATGACCCTAGAGATAATTTTCTTGCACTTCCTAAGTAAAATATATAGTATTTAATATCAGTCTTAAATTTACAGAAACTTTTGACGTATTCTGATTGTGACACATAACCTCATCATACTTTTGAAGTAACACTGAATACTTCTATCAAATTAACCTCCGCTGTAATTAGACTGTCATCTGTTTAAGTATAAACAGATTATCCCTAAAATCTTACCCAAGTTTACTAGGATGTCATTTGATCATGAAATTTTATGTTAAAATTTATTTTGATCAAATTCGTCGTTTCACAGTTGTTATGAAGGGATAGTCTACATTTATCAGGGGAATTCTGATTGGGATTGGTCCCATTTATACTAACTAGTAATTTCTAATCTCAATACCCCCAATACAACAAACGAATTTTATTTCAGCGAACTACTGAGGATTATTCTCATTATCATGTATATAGTTAAACTGTTTTCTTAGTTGACTGAATATGAAAATACTGATAATTAGTGCATAAATTACATAAACGATTTTCATTGTTTATTACATTGGATAAGTTCTATACACGTTTGGGTAACATTTATAACAATACTGTGACACTGTGTCTATAAACAAATAATCACTATGTTTCACATCTTTCGTTATTGTATGGTTGTATGCATTAAATTAATTGTTGAAAATTGACTACTTAACAAAAACTGGTCGATGTTGTTTTACCGAAGTCCAAATGAATTTACATCATTAGAACAGTATTGGTATAAACATATGTTTTGATTTGGATTTATGAATTTATATATATATATATATAGCACAACGATCTCTTTATGTCTGACAGTATGCATGCTACCATAATTCGACATCAGTTTTAGTATGTACTAAACTCTAATTTATACAATAGTTTAATTGATTATTTTCTAGCGGTGAATAATTTATCACGTATATATAATGAATATTACCTGTCAGCCATTTATAAACAATGTAGCAGGTCTGATAAAAGTATGTATTGGCTGAAATCGTTCTACACTTTATAGTCAGAACAACAAATGAGTGGAAACATTGGATTTTGTGGAAAGAAAAGAGTCAATTTATTGGAAATATAATTCATAAGAAGCAAGAGCCTACCAGATAGTCATTAACTTGTTCAATGGGTATAATGTTTATATCTTATTATTACGTATTAATAAAATAATCAAAAGGTACCGAATTCGAGTATAAGTTGAGTATCAAAATTGAAATGGATGAACGAATCTTGATTAGAAGAAAATGCATGTTCTAAATTTCACTGCTAATCACTCTGTCAACTTTACTTAAAATAAGTGAAGTTTCAAATATATTAGATCAAGATAATACAGTACTAATGTTAACGAATTTTAAAATTCCAAATTTTATGCAGTTTTTATATGTAGTTGTTTGTACAATTAATATAACTCATTGTATACTTTTTTTTAATTAAATGCATATTTTATTACTTTAACTCAATTGCTGCTACATTAGCTTACTAGGAATATATATATATATATATATATATATATATATATAATTCAAACAAAATTATATTACTAATGATATTAATACATATGTGTATATTAAGAAAAGAATTTCACTAATAATATTAGAGAATATTCACATGTTTACTATGATACAATTGTTATTCCAATAGTATGTTTAATTATTTGTTATGTGTTAATATCAAGTAATTACTTGAATATTATTATTCATATTGATTGAGATCATGAATCAATTGATGTTAGACCACCGTTGGAAACCTGGAAGCGCTGGACGGCCGCTTCGTCCTAGTATGGGACTCTTCAGCAGTGCGCATCCATGATCCCGCTCCCTGCGAGATTCGAACCCAGGACCTATCAGTCTCGCGCCAGGCGCTTAACCAACTAGACCGCTGAGCCGGCATCCAATGGTGTCTCGCCTGGCGCGAGACCGATAGGTCCTGGGTTCGAATCTCGCAGGGAGCGGGATCGTGGATGCGCACTGCTGATGCGCACTACTAGGACGAAACGGCCGTCCAGTGCTTCAAGGTTTCCAACGGTGGTCTAACATCAATTGATTCATGATCTCAATCAAAAACTTAACAATCTCCACAACCCCTATACTGATATTATTCATATTACCAATCAATATGGTAACTAATATACATAAAATCTTTGTTTTAATTATATATATTGTATTTATAATATTTGGTTAATCACTTTACATTTATAAGAAGTGATTGTTTATAAATTATATTTCTCTTTTTGTTTTTTGTTCTCGGGGGTCGTTGGTGATAGGTCCACGTAATGCTTCCACGAATAAATCACTTTTTTCTTGTGCTATTGGTACATCGTTTATTTGTCTAAGTGAACAAACCTATGAATTAAAAGATAAATCATCAAATTCAACAAATGTACGACTTACATTTAGTGAGTTTCAAGTTGAAGCATTCAGAAATAATGATGTTTCTAATAATACGTTTACTGGACCAAGTAAGTTAATTAAATTATTTAGAGAAAATTTTTTAAAATTTCATTTATTTTCCTTATTTGTTGCTTTAATTATATATATAATTACTACTTTTATGTACTTAATTATGCCTATTACACCTCGTGGAGGAGCATAGGTAGCCCACCAGCATTCTCCATTCAACTCTGTCCTGGACCATCCTTTCTAGTTCTTTCCAGTTGCTATTCATCCTTTTGATGTCTGTTTGCAATTCACGACACAGTGTGTTCTTCAGCCTCCCACTTTTCAAATTCCCTTCAGGATTCCAAGTTAGCTCTTGCCTCGTGGTGCTGTTTAATGATTTCCTCAATGTATGTCCTGTCCACTTCAAGCGTCTTTTTCTAGTTTCGTCGTCAGTTGGAAGCTGGTTTGTTCTGTCCTATAGTAGGTTGTTGCTGATGGTATCTTGCGTAGACAATTGTTTATAAATACTTGCACTTTTTCGATGATAGTTATAGTATTTCTCCAAGTTTCAGCTCCATATGGTAGAACTGTCTTGACGTTTGTATTGAAGATTCTGGCTTTGATTTACTTTTTACGTGCGTACTGTTAAATATCACAGGGCAATAAATATGAACTCAATGTTGATATATATAATTTATTCATCAATAACATGTGAACAAATAAAAAGACTATGCTTCGTTCGAAATGGTAACTTGTCCATGATGAATTTAAAATCAAGTGGTAAGATATATCAAGAAAATTGAGATACACATTTTATATTGCAAAAATTCCATAAATCTCATAATACATTGGTTACACAAGCCATTTATTTCTTCTAGTTTAAAAACTTTAGTCAATGTAATGTGGTTTTACTATACAAATTGTCATTTTCTACGTAATTACCATGACCAGTAATTGAAGACGTTGGACGATATGGTTCAAGATAGTTCACAATAATACAAATACATTCACTCTTTGTTTCCCCTGAGATCAAGAGTTTTAGATTATACTGTACCTGTTATTCCACGAGTTCAATCTTTCTTTTCGAATTTAGTCAGTCAGTCAGCTACAACGTAGGACCTGGCACATATATGCATCGGTCCAAGTCCAATGGACAGCCTTACCGGACACCACTTGAGGTTGCAAAATCAGATGACAGTTCGCCAGAAGCTCTGACTCAACTGGTACTTTTCGAGTAAATAGCCTTCGCAATGTCTACGTACTTCTGAGGTATGCCTTTCAATGACAGACACTGCCACAGAATCTCGCGGTCTACCGAGTCAAATGCTGCTTTTAAGTCAAGAAAGACCACCATTGTCGGACGCCGACAAGTATGCCTGTGTTCGAGACCCTGAAGAATGGTGAATATGTGGTCTATGTCACCATGACCAAGTGGTTTAAATCACTGATAGATGTCACTGCTGTTTCCACAGCTGTTTGTATAGCTTTCCAAACAACATCTGGGTCATCCTCGTTTCAGAAATACCTAAGTGTTACCTCAGTTGTTCCTGGAACCTACTTTTGGTTTTCTCGGTACTCAATTCAGTTAAAATGAATCTTTTTAGTGTGGCTTTTCTAATTATTATCCTCTATACCTGATCTCTTTTTATTATCAGTAATAATGAAACTACTTGTCCCGATGCACGTAATATATATATATATATATATATATATATATATATATATCAGGTTCTTTGTTATTTATAACTGACTGATTACTTACCTGTCATTGTTATACGTATCACGGTAAATATTGTCACTAGTGCACGGTAATGTTCAAGACATTCCAATCGACTCACTCGGGTTTCTGATCTCAATCCTGATTCACCTTTTTCGTCTTAAATCCCTTGTTTATTGTCAGTGTGTAATAATGGGAAGGCTACAAGTGGAAAAACTAAGACATTTTATCAGTCCATGAATATGCTGATTGTTGAACTGAGCCGTTGTAGGTAGGGATAGGCTACTCGTTTGGGGTTCACGTGGTTAGCATAACCAATGATTAGTGGCGTTGAGTGGTATGTAGGTGTCATTACCAAGGTTTGATTTGATAATTTCGAATAAATTGAGCATTGGGTTGATTGTTATAAATAAAAATAATATATTTGTAATATCCCAATGAGTAGAAAATTGGATTTTCTGACGTTTCGTGGCTTAGTGTAAGTCACTTGGATTAATTTTAATTTGGTTATTTATTCTCTGAAGAAGTGACTTACACTAAGCCACGAAACGTCAGAAAATCCAATTTTCTACTCATTGGGATATTACAAATATATTATTGTTGAGTGGTATGGCTTAAAATCGTTCGCAGTGACGCGGATGCATCGGCTCCTTACTTTCCTTCACATTCTAAGTTTCCGAATTCGTCAGATTTTTTCTGTCATTTCGCTGATTTACATATTTTTTCTTGAATCCTATCTTCGATGCATAACCTTTTTTATTATCACCAATAGTATTATTATCTGTATTACTCTGGGATTCGCCCTGACAATTTCATCTTGGGATGTGGCAAATTGGACCGATGTATACATGTTCCAGGTTCTACGTCGTATTTGACTGACTGATTGAAATTAATCTCAGTGTTCTGCATGATCTCTGTTTGATGAACTCACCTCCTAATTGGTGTTAAAATTCAAATATCAATCTAACTTGTCGCTACACTGTATTCAAATCTAGTTAGTCATAAGTTCCGATCCCTAAAAGTATGGTCTCAGTTATATGTTCACAGATTGATCCAATTAGCCGTCAGTTAAATAAACTGTTTTAAGTGGACATATAACTTCATTATATCCTCATGGAACACCAATATCAATTTTATATTTACTCTGTAAGGTGGTGGTTGAAGGCGATTTACAGAAAATCATAAATATAGGTGTCTTGCTGATCTTGACTTGTCAGCAAGGTGTACCTGTAATTGTAAGAGAAGTGGTACTCCTTGACTTATTCGATCTCGTATCGCACACTTTCACGGTCCTGTTTACTTCCTTCAACCACCACTTTACATCATAGCATAGTGCATTCGATGTCAAGTCACGTAGACAAGTGGAAGGATTGCAACTCGTTCACTAGAATTGGATTAGCATTGGAGAAGGACCTGGTATACATGAAAGTGGTCAATGATTAATCAGTTGTAAATATGTACTTTTTATATCAAGAAATTACTTGTTAGATTGCTTATATTTTGATGCTGCATTGTTGTAAGAAATAAGCAATGGCGCGTGATCGATTGTAAACCTTATTGATTACACAAGAAGTCGTCAACCATCGCTTACTGGGACACTCATAGATGTATCTAAATACAACCACAACCATACGTCAGTCATTTAACGGTCTTGTGACTGATCTTTGTTTATTCATTCTTAGCTGTTTTTTTCTCCAACCTAATTCTCTACTTCAGTTCATATCACATGTCGAGGTATATGACATTGTATCTTGTAGTGCGACTTTACAACCTCATCGACTAGTTCATCCTATTTCTCTAAAACGTTACTAATCTAGTCTTTATTCATTTAGTGACTATGGTGTTGTCATAATATATAATTGTCTCTCACCTTTCAACATTTATGCTTGGTATGCATGTCGCTGTCTTAACCTGAATTATTTCGTTCATGGAATTAAAATCTAACTGAAAATTGCCTTTATGTTTATTGTAAAACGTTTACTCAAACTAACAACCCCTTATGTAACATATTTACATCAAATGCCTCAATAATTATTAATTTTTAACATTTTACCTCTAGCTTCCTCTTGTGCTGCCGATTATGTACCGACTAAAGTGATTCCTATTGTTGTCGGCGTCTTATTGGTGGTTATGATAGCGGCTGCTTTAATCGCTTTTATTATCAGTAGTCGACGCCGTCAAATTGGCTATGAAGAAATATAAATTATGAAAATAAAGGCGGCCTAACATACAGGTCTTATAGCTAATGAATCAAACTCTCAGATCTGATAATTTTAGCATGATTTAGCTATTGTTATGCTATTTTTTTCATTTACATTGCTTTCGAACCTATTTCTCTATTTCATCAATAATTACTGCTTTTATATATATTTATGTATACCATTAAACCCTAAAATTTTATATTTCATTTTTGGCGCTCATTTCATTTTTTTACACGCATTTCGGTCTTATGTCTTGATGGTGTTTTTTAGATTAAGATTGTTTTTCACTTGATGATTTACAATATATTGTCATTGTTCGTTCATTAAATTGTATTTTGTAATGTAAGTAGAGGATAATTTTAGTATGCGTAGAGTGTGGTATCATATTGTATGAGTTCAATTACAATTTAAATATGATTATAGATACCTGCCTCATTTTTTAAATACACATTGTATGCAAATTGATTCACTATTCTGTAAACTGAGTCTTTCATCGTTATTTAGCAGTTTACTGCTTACAGTTTTAGGCTCCATCTGTGTTTCTACTGTTAATTTTAGAACTCCTAACTGAGCAATAATAATAAACGGACGCAATAGGGATTGCTGTTTCTTGTAATCACGAATGCAGTGTTTCTGTATTTCTCATGCGTATGCTTCACTGCCCGACGGTATCTCGCTTTTTCATTGATTAGAAGCACTAGTATATTATGGTTTTGGTTGGTTAATGAAAGGGATGAATCTAGGGTTTAGACTAGTTTTTACTTGCCAACAAGAAGTATGTACCAATTTGAGGGGACTGGTGTCTCTGTGATTGGAGCTCGCATCACCCAGTATTAGCCACGGGAGTTAATAGACAAACATCACCTGAATCACTACTTGACCACTGTTGGTGCCTCACTCTTGTTAGGAGATATTTGTAGCCCGATGTGCTCAGTATTAAGGGTTTTGACTATGACTGGATGATATGTGCTCGAACATCTTGTGACCGAAGACACGTTTCGAGACGTCAGCTACCTGGGAACTTACGATGACAATTTCCTGATTACTAACAACCAAAACTGGACTAATTGTTCAGGACTACTATCGCTTGGTCTAACTATTCTTTTAATCCTCCGCTGAAAGTGCCAGCTGCTGTGGAAGTGACTATCGAGAGGGCTGTAATTTGTGTAACTATCGGACGGAGAATTAGTGGTTATCATTGTATAATTATCAGACATTTAACTTATTATACTCTTATATTCTCCAGATTGTAATCTTACTGTTGGGGCACAGGTCGTTGTTTTATTTTTTTATCTTACTTGAGTTATTCCTAACTAATCATTGACCTTTAACTTGTGCGATAGTTCTGCAAACAGTTCCGTATTTATGTCCATGTATTCGGGAAATCGCTCTATATTTTTATATGAGTTGATTCATTGAACTAGATTGTTACACAATATGGGATGTATCTGCTTAGTGACTCCGTCTTCTAATTGGACACGGTTGTAAGGAACTCGAGGGTCAGTAGTTATTAAGGTATGAACTGTTGTTACTTAGTCAATGGTCCTACGCGCAATACAGTTGCAAATGTGTAGAATGATTATCTGACCCTGTCTTACGTAACCCGATCAGGAATTGATAAAGCCAGAAGTTTTCTACTTTTCCAAAGTACAACACCAACTCTGATGATATGGAAGACGTCCTAGTGCTACTTGCTGGTTTACATTTGTCATTCTCCCATATTTTCCGTCCCTCATTAGTAACACCCGTAGGATAGTGGTTTTATTTTACTCTCTAACTATTCGGGCTCTCACAGTATCACTCCTATCGTTATGAACATCGTCTTATCATTGAACAATGGGGCTTCTATGCCTAAATTCTGAGATAAATCTTGAATAAAACACTTTATTTGCGCGAAACGTGGACTTTATATTTACGGAGTAGGAATTCATCACCTGCTTTTGCTTATTTAGTCAACCTTGTTTCGGTTTGTGCACCTGGGTAGTATTCCAGTGCTCACGCAAGTCGAACAATGAAATGTGTTGCATATCTATTTGTTACCTCCTTGCACCAATATTTATGTAGTTAAATAAATATATATTTAGTCAGCGAAGAATCCTATAGGTTATCGCTGTTAGTTATGAAAGGCGACTAATGAGTGAGAGTTTCGTATCTGTTCAGACAAACAAAGGCTCTCAACATTCAATATAAGATAATAGGGTATATAACGCTTATACAAAACAAGGAAGTGAATGAATACTTGAACAATACTGTTTTGGCATATGCTTGGTTGTTTGGGGTCAACTCTTAACCAACCAACCTGAGCTGTTACAAGAGGACCGTCACTAATGCTATGATAACCTACAGTTGTTTCGATTAATTGGAGGCTGAAAAAGGAATAATCAGTGAAAATAATATTGCAGAAGTCAAGTCATTAAAACATTATCTCGGAAATTGCAGAAGTATTCAGCCAGTCTTCAGCTATCTTGCAGTTGACCGTGGCTAAACTACTCTGATGGATCACTAATTTTAGCTCTTAAGGCCATATGAGAACCGAGGAGTTCGTCGAAATACAGAAACTTGATAGTGTTGAAAGCTTCTGACCTTTTTGGGAATTTTTGTTCTGATGGTTATATTAGTGACTAGGCACACTTTACAACATTTTGTATAATGATGGTTTTCACAGGCAGTTGATTTCGGATTGTGATGGATGTAGAACGACAGTACAAAACAGCCTTTTCATCCTGCCTCGATATTCCTTAGCAATGGGAAATAAAGACACTTGTTTTTTGAAATCGTATGGGTTATCTTGAGATAACTAAGTTGTATCAGGAGATCCTCTTTTCAGAACTCAGTCGCAGAAGGTTTACGATGATATAGGATTTGATATTAGTTGTGCCGGAGTTTATTTTATTGAAAAGTTCACGGAACAGTTAGAAAATAGGTCAAAGATTGTTTAGTGGGAGGATAGATGTGGAGTATCATGAAAAGCACCTAAGTTTAAATTTTTAACAGCAGACACTAGACAGCGACTGGGGCGTGCGCTGCCTTCTTTTTACAGTTTTGAGGAGAATATAGTGGCATTTAGGTGATCAGATTGTTTGTGAGATGGGTTTCTATGCTTGTTTGTCGTCCAGTGTCACGAGTGTGTTGTGACCTACTTTTATCAACAGAGCGCGATTAGTGTAATGGAAATATTATTATTATAACCAATTGTACCAAGGATTGTTTTACTGTACGTGTTTGTTTAACTGTACCATGAAAATACATTCTTCCGTTGATTGTGACTTTGCACGAATTCCGTTACGCCCAGTAACCACACTTGTAACCGGGCACGATCTCGGCGTTCTTTCGATACCACGAGATCGCCAACAACTATATCTCGACTACAGCTACCAACTGCCTCCTTATATTTGGCCTACGGGGGATCTTATCGGCTAACTGGCACGTAGTCTTCCTGTAGTGATGATCATAGGCAAACGTAACTCCACTCCACACTACAGGTGCCACTCCTAGCCTAACGTCACTATACTTGGCCTTGATAATTCGACTGAAGGAGTTATTTCCTTATCAGTGTGTGACGGCATTAGGCTTATGAACTATCTTTGAAATAGGCACTTTGTTTGTGGATACATGTTGAGATTTTTCCTGGGTTGGTGAGGGTCTTTTCTCTTCTCTGTACTGACTGTTTGTCTACCTTGGTCTTTGTGATTTTTCGAGGGGGAAAAGGTGGTGGGACTACATATCGGATGAATTTGCAGTTTTTATCTACCATGGTGGGATATCTGTATCAATGGATATTTTTAAGAGTCTCTGGGCACCTGATCTCAGTTGAAGTGTTATACAGCGTCAACTGTTCACTTTAAAATGTAATCACAGAATAATATTATATTACACTATCTGGAATGTTTATTGAGAACGCATTGATAATTGGCGCACACTGATTATCACAGCACATGGTTAGTGATGACAAAGCTCATATGGAAAGTAATATTCAAGTCTGTAGACTCGGTCATGAAAATTCAACGTTGTACTGAGCGTCTATGCTGCATATGCTTGTGTATTTTAGGTGGGAATCGTAAAACCACATATGGAATGGGCCCTCTGTTATGGAATATCCGTTCAAAAGGGCGCGAGAAAAATGGCCACTACTAAATAAGGGAGACTACCAAAGAAGGAAAGATATTATCACGCGCGGGCACTTAAATATGGAATAGCAGTTTAAGTGGCACAAAATATGCTCTCTTCCCCCTCTGTCCGTCCGCCTTAGGATCAGTCAAAAGAAATGGTTTTCGAAATGTTTAATGAAGAGTGTGCTTCCAAAACATACTGTGAATTGATAACAAATTATTTTACTTATTACCTTATTCGTGTGATCTCTTATATCGGTTTCGAACTACTGAGGGATAGTTTAGCGGAGTGTTTCGAAAGTGTTTGAGAAGTGCGTGGTGAATTTCATATTGAATAAGTTTGAAATTCTAGGAGCACGCTTTTGTTTCAGAACTAAAATATCATCCCAGCATTCTTCATTAAGAATATTTGTAGTGGCATTGAACAATAACCGCACAATCCACAAAGCTGAACACGAGACTACTCAGAGAATAGATATTCAATATTTAACGCGGATAAATACCTAACGATGGAGAAGGCGCGGAGAATGAATTGAATGGACTGAAGTTGATCGGGTGGCATGGCTCGGCCATGCAGGCGTGGTCTCTGCTGAATGTTACCTTATATCCTCTATTCATATTAAATATATTGTTCCTTCTCTAGCCTAACCTTGTTCTTCATCATGTATTGGTAATTGATACGATACAGTGAGTTGGTGTAGTCGATGGTGTGACTTCCACGTAAGATCTTATAGATTAGGCAGTTATATCATGACAAATCTACAAATTTAGGATTAGGTCTATTATTAGAGCAGTACTAATATCTTAGTTCTACATATTCTCGAAACATTGTCATTTGTGTTTCACATCACTAGCTTGTGGTTGATGAACTGAGTCTGAAGGCAAAAAAGCACTGGATAACTGAGGAAACAGCATTACAAAGGTTCAATACAGTTTTCTTCTGACATACTGTCACACCCAAACACTTCAAGAGTGCTTTCAGAAGCGGGTTTCGAGCCTTACAATATTTATTCAGAAAAGAAACTACTATTTAGGGACAGTTGGAAAGGGATGAAAGTAGCATTAACCTTTTATTTTCTTAACTTGCATAATTAGCCTTACTCAGCAAGTACTGTCATATTTGTTACGTCTCGCTGATGACGTGAAGCTTTCGAGAGATGTTTACAACGAGGACGAATAACGGAAGGAAAACCTGACTGGACTTCAAAGTTAGGTAGATAACAGAGGACTTACACTTAACATTTCAAGGTAAAAAGTAGTCCATGTAAGACATGTAGCAGACTACGCATAAACCTCAAGTAATTACTCTCTGGAAGTATCTCAAGTTGAACAAGACTTGAGTGTTGGTACCCTATGATCTGAAGCCTTATACTAACTACGGCAAAAATGTCTTTCCAGCAAATCTTGAACTAGTCATGTCGAAGTGCATTTTGGGACAGTTTGACGACAGAACTTTCCACTTAATCTTTAACTGCGTGGAACCACAGTGTTTCTTCCGTCACTCCAAAAGTATGAGGATGAATTGGAACTAATTCATAGATGGGTCACGAAATCAGTTCGGGAACTCAAATTCGAGCCTTACATAAAAGGCTTCAAATCTCCAGGCCTTTATCCATTACAGTGTTAAAGTCTCGTAGGTGACCTGGAGACGACTCATTGTGTCCTATGAGCTCCCAGTCATCGTCCTAAATACCCACTTAATCTCAGTCCCAACACAAAGTAAAGGGGTAAGACTCGAAGCTGGAGACACAACGTAGCAGAACAGACTGTAGGCACGCTTTCCGGTCCGTGGAAGTAGTCGAATGCTGAAGTTCGCTGCCGGATTAGGCAGTTCAAGTGATATCCCAGGCGTCCTCCAGTAGGAAACTGGACATATTCCTTAGGTTTCAGTACAATAATTCTTTATGACGTACCGAATTCGTTCAGCAATAAATATGCCTTGGTTTCTATCTAAAGGTGATCCACTGCCACTAGACACGGAAGTCTATTAACCGAAAGCTTTCATTCCATCCACAAACATTTAAACAATCTGAACTATTTGAGTTTGGCGTTTGGTCACCCTCAACGCATAATATGAATTTTTCAAGGTCGTTCGATGGCTTTACCTGAGATCGTATACATTGATGTTTCGGAAAGTGGCTGTGACTTGAGAACATTGCTTGACAACTGTACGTTACAAATTCCAATCTAATTTGACAAATTCAAGTGCTTAAAATATGTGATTCGAAGTATGAGCTCAAAATCGATTGCAAATACTACTCAGCTGATATAATTATTCGATCCGTAGACAAATTATGTGCTCTTAACAAGTCACCAGAGTTTCTCAATGTTCACGGGGTTATCATTTGTTTTTCTGGGGATAAGGTAAGGATACAGTTACTCATACTGTCTTATTTTAATGATTAACAATAACACATTCCAAGCAGATTGTGAAGATAAAATAAAGACGAACTGTTTGAAAATACTGAAGAATTTCTTCCAGAGAGGTCAGTGTAGATATAGGCGACAATGCATCAAATTTTCTTTTGCCTCTGTCCGATGTAAATAGTACGAGATTAATACTTACCGTTTTCAAATTATCTACTTTTCTCGACAATTAACACATCGGGTAGTTAAATTTCCATGTAAATTGATGAACCTTCTTCTCATGTCTTGTCTATTCAGGAACTTACTTACTTACGCCTGTTACTCCTCGTGAAGGAGCATAGGCCGCTCACCAGCATTCTCCATCCAACCCTGTCCTGGGCAATCCTTTCTAGCTCCGTCCAGGAAATTCACCTTAAATTCTTTAGGGTTAACCGTAAAGATTACCACATTTTCTGCACACTTGACATTATTCAGAAGCGTAATTTATATGAAGCACGCTTAGTTGCCAATTATATTTACGCTCATGTGACAGTAAAACTTCGTTATTGTGACTGACGGAGTTATCTTCAACCATAATCTAAAAAAGGTAGTTAGTACAAGGTTTGTTTTTCTTTCAAAGAAACCTCTTGTTTAAACGAAACACTAGTGGATACTAACGCCTACTTGCTACATCTAATTAAGTGGTGACACTCAACTTTTTCATTAACATTGTACAATAATAATTTAGATGTTAAGGGACCTTGCAAATAAGAGACAAATATAGTATTACCTGTTATACTGCTGTAGAATCGAAACTATAAAATACTCCATTTTGTTGTCGTCCCCATCAATGCGAAGTTGATTGCCTAATCGGGTTTTATTAGGTAGGATAAAATTGGTATGATTGAGGCTTTCGAATGATTATCCGTCGGCCTAGTTTTCATCGCCATCTACGTAGTAAATAAGCAGTAAACTTAGTCAGTTTACTTGCAAATTTACCTTTTTGCTGGAGATATGCATTTAAGACTTCCACCTCTTCAATCTATAAAGGTAACTGTAAGCTAGCTAACCCCCAGCCGAGGTTTTGGACTGGTGTTCTTCATAGTAATATCATCTGTCGCATTACATTGATACCGGATATCATTGTTTGCGACTTGCTATATAACTGAAATTCGAGTGCCCCCATATTTCCTTTTGATTATGTTCAACTCTGAAATGTTTCGGAGTATCTGTACATTAATCTGGGAATAGACGCATTAATTTTAAAACAAATGATATAGTAATACTGGACTGTGCTCTTAAAAGAATTGGTCGTGGACATATTTATTTATTTGAACACATAAACATTGGCACAAGGAAACACCAAATGGATTTGCGCCACATAAATCGCTCGATTTTTGTGAGGCCCGGGATACTGCCCGGGTGCCCAAATCGAAGCAGGACAATTAGAGGAAACTATAAGGTCACTCGAATTTGGGGGAAATGTAGACAATTCGGTGTTAATATTTGAGAAAAGTGGACGATTTGGGAAAAGTGGAAGTGTTACCTTCGAGATATTTCCACTCAATGGGAAAATCAGATGAAAATTCCTACTATTTACCTCGGGCAGAGGCGAAAAGGAATTTGATGCATTGTCGCCCATATTCACACTGTCCTGAAAGCATTTCTTCAGTACTTTGTTTAAAATTTCACCTCTATTTCCGCTCTTTTGTTTTCTTGGTTAGTGAGAGAGGAGTATTGTGGTTGGAAATATTAAAGGATGCTGGATTGGAAGGACAAAAAGAACGATGAGTTCGCACTGTTAAAACCACGAATCTCTCTAAATTGAAAGCGAGTACTAAGTATATACAGTAGTGTTATGTACCTTATAAACTTGTAGAGATGCGTCGCCAGTTTTTATTCTGTAAGCGCTTTACTATTTTCTACTTACCAGTAGCAGGTAATAGTGTTTAATGGAGAGATTATCAGCTCACTTTTTGAAATCATGATTCCGGTTCCACTATGCAGTGTACTTTAACCTTAGATATTTAGAACAGTTCTTCCAAAATTAGGATAATAAACAATATTCATCTGAGTTCACGATCCTTTAGCGTAACGCCACTTTACTACCTTAATAACAGGCTAAATATTTCCAGAGTCCTTAGTCCTATGTAGAAAGACTCATTTCGCTTTACATTATTACTTTGTAAAACAAAAGGCACTTGACTTACATTTATCGCTTGTACATTTAGTACTCTTATTTTGCAGAAATATAAAAATACAACTTAATCTGGTTCCATCATTTTAGCTCATTACCAAAGACTGGTTAAAAAAGGGAGGAAATTGAAATTATACACCAATCCGCGTTGTTTCGGGCAATAATGAAAATTGACAAAAAATGTGGTGCATCATTTCATTACTTCCATTTACCAAATTTATAGGATAGCAAATAGATGAAGTATCACTTAAGAAAAGTAAAATCAAAATAATATTGTTTCATTAGATAATGTTTAATGAATAGTTTGAGAAATTATTTTATCAATGATCAAAGCCAGTTAATAATTGCAGACGAATCAACCCTATCCATTTGCTTCGTTCTAAGTTGGGGCTTATCAAATATGCCTTCCCATGCTAGGGCAAACATTGGGTTGTTGATCTTGCTGTAAATACGTTAGTGTACATTTGACGTTTTGCGATTCGCTGCTTCACGTGTTTTTTATCCACATAGTCATTATCACATTTGTTATGCAGTTGTGTCATTAAACCTGTTAATCACGACTAGCGTCTTGTTTCTTCTGATTTTTCGTGAATTCGTTCTCTCTACGTCAATATATTTCCTGTTTGTTCATATCCATTTTCTCCTTAAGGTGTCTAGTTGGAATGATGCTCTTAAACTGATGGGCTTGGCTATTAGTCATGACGTATCCATACGGATGCTAGTGTGTCATACTGTTAATCCGTCTATTTTGTTTCCTTCTGAGCCAGATGCTTTTTCGGTTATGACACGCATTATTCTGGATCATGAGTTTGAGCTAGTTGAAATTTCGCCAAATGAGGATACTATTGAAGAAGGTACTGGGTATTTTTGCTTATTGGCCTTTTGAAGTCTTGTTAATGTGTCGATTATCTCCTCTGAGGATCGTCTATCCTTATTACATTTATTTTCAGTTTTAGTAATTGGATTGTTAGGGTTAGTGGTATGTTTTGTTCTTTTCAGTGGGTCTTTCTAGAAATATGATTTCTCCGTAAACCAACTCACCAAAGCCGACTTAAACAAAGTATGACCCAATATAAATTTTTATCGCTTCTCCTTATTACACTTCTCATCAGAACAGAAAATACAAAGCGATACGATAAAAATGGAAAGGTGTAGAGGTAATAGCAGCAATAACAGTGGAAAGCTAAAGGACAGAAGGAAAAAGATCGAAAAATGAATGAAATTATGAATAACACGAAGTTTGAGTTTTAGTTGAAGATAAGAAATGAACGCATTTGCACCATTGGGGCTGATTTAAATCACCTAACATCCCTAATGATTGGTTATGGTAAAGCCTGGATCTCCCTGTACAACTAGAACCAACAGTCAATAACTTCAATGGATAGTGTGTGTTTATGTGACTGCTCTTAAATTTTTCAGCATACTCGTACTCAAACCAGCGTTACAAGTCAGTATAGTCTGGGATAAAATGGAGTATCGGACTCACTCACTTCGATCAGCACAGGTACACGAATTAAACAACTAACATGTCCTTATTTCCTAGAATTTGAATCTAGATGAACACTAATTATTTTATGGTTCCATTAAACGCGATTGTTGTATATTTACAGTATTAGTATACTTATCTCAATCAGCAGTTTTATTTCACAGCCATGGTGTAGAAAAGAGCTCACTTCTTTACATTGTACTCACCTCTTGATAATTGGATGGTTGGACTAGTACTATTGGTGGTATAAGTTGGCGGGTGCCAAGCTAGATTTATTTAGTGGTCGCGATATTTTGTTAGTAAGTAGTCAGTCAGGCCTGATACTATTTATTAACCGAGTTAACTAATATTCGCACAATCACATCACTGTTCGTCTCTAAACAAATTGCCATCACATGTCAGTCCTGCAATACCATCTTTTTTCGATTTTTACTCACGGTACTCTGAAGAAGTTTATTTTGTCACTGTCTCTGCCTAACGAATTTATATTATCTATGTATTGGTAATTACTTAGCAGAAAATAAAAGGTCGACTCCAGTAAAATTAAAGTTAAATAAAGTCGCCATCATCAGTATGTAAATAATGTAGTTGAACAAGAATTATAAAGGTCGATATCATTGATCATACAGTTCGTTTGTTTTAGCAAGGTTCTTCTCTATGGGATGGGGTTGCTAAACCCGTGCCCAACCCTTGTTTACCCGGACCTAGGACCGGGAGTAACTTTAGAATGGGTCTAAACGGATTTGAAAATATAGAAGCATACCTTACATTTCGTTTTAGGAAATCAGTTGATTAATAACTGACTATTGTAATTTCAACAGCCCCTGACCTGTTAAATATCATTATTAAATGATAGAATTTGTCTAGATAATTTTGTATGTTCAAGCATGATTGTTATTAAGATTTGGCTTTGTATGTTTGATGCAATAGATGTCGTTGCCATAGTCGCAGAAAACCTTACTAAGCATTCGGTAAATTGGTCTGACTATTTTCATTTTTAATAACTCATACTTTTGCAAGTAATCCACCGTTTAGCAAATTATCTGTTTTTGAAACTAGTACAGTTGTATATTACAATAAATGATTTTTGGGGACTTTCGTTTTCAGGCGAAGAATTTGGAGTAAAACGAATAATATCTATATTGGAAACACATATCTGGCCAAATATGAAGCCTAAAGGTATATAAGTACTATTGTTATTATCAGGAATTTCTTTTGCATGATGATAGTAAAGAAAATAATTTGATCATAGATTTCTTTTGACTTATTTACCTGACTACTTATACTTATTTACCCGCTCTCTTGATGGTAAATCAGTTGATGAGGTTGTGAATCTTCATCGACTGAGATGGTTGGGCCACGTGTTACGTATGCCCAAACACCGATTACCACGACGTGCAATGTTAACCGGTGTTAGAGATGGTTGGAAGAAAATAAGGGGCGGCCAAACCAAAACGTGGCATCAGTGCTTGAGGACACTAACTTCTAGTCTGAGCCATGTTGGCAGATGCAGACTACTTGGTTGGTGTCCGCGTGACTATCGTAACCAATGGTTGGAGACTTGGTGACATGGCTCAGAATCGATCACAATGGCGTCGGTGTATACACTCCCTGTCTTCCCTTAAACTAAGAGACTAAAATAACTTCATTCTTTCTGTCTACGAACTAATTCTTTCTTCCTATACTATATCCTTATTGCAACCTTTGACCTAACCACTCCTATGAATCCGCTGTTCATCTTGCTGTGCTAATGAGGTATGGCAACCTGGACCGATGCACATATGCGTCTGGTCCCACTTTGTAGCTGACTGTCTGACTGACTTTCCTGACTCTTAAAGATGCATGTGTCCAGTTTTTCTATCGTTTACTGTTAATTGCTAAGATAATGAGATAAACTTGGAGTTAATTTATTAGTTGAAACAATCAATTAGTCACATTGTAGAACCTGTTACTTATATACATCAGTTCAAGTTATCATATCCTATTATCACAAAAGACTGGTGCATCAATTTTATTTTGTACAAATTAAAGTTCTACTGTATATCTACAAGACTCAAATTTCATTAAAGTTACTAATCAATAATGTCAGTTACAAAATCAAATTCTTATTATTATAGAAGGAATCATTGTATTTATCAAATATTTACTTGGTATTTTTACTAATCTGTAAAGTAAATTCATATCACAAAAAATATTACTATTCGTGATGTCTTTTTTTACTTAAAAAATATAATTTATTGACTTCAAAGGTGAATTATTTGATAAATTTCAAGCAATTAGTCCCTTCTGATAAATTTCGATTATGTAATAAGAAGACGAAGATTATCAGAATTATATGATGATATATTAGCGTAATACATTCCGAACAATCTGATCACACATAGTACACTTGTTTAAAACATTGATATATAAAAAAAAATAAAAAGTCAGCTAGACTGGAAATGGGGTAAGAGGAGACAAGGATGTTAATAATAAGAGTAATAACTAATAATAAGGCAATATTACCGTGGTTGGTTTAAAGTGAGAACAAGCTGTTTTTGAATACACAAAGGGGATTTGAATTTTCGTATGGCTAAGGCTTCAATAAACCTTAGTATACACTCTTTTACACTTTTATATAACACCACAAAAGCCGAGTTAAGATCAATCTTATGACCTGTTTCGATTATATGTTTAGCGATAGAGGATAATGGATGTTTATCATCTACTCTTAATGGGTCACTTGATTGTATTTGTTTCTGCAACCATTTAGGTACATGTTCACACACCCTAATTTTGAGATCACGATTGCTCCTCCCTATATATGTGTGACCACACAAACATTTAAATTGGTAAATACAGTAGAATGTGACACAATCGTTTTCATGTCTTTTAGGTTTTGGATGAAGCATGCACCTTGTTCTTTCTTTGTTAGTGACTTTTGCTGCGCAATACGTTTCGTTGATGACTGATTTAAGCTTTTGTTTCAATAAAACGCTGTTTAAATAATCTCTGAATGGTAAGGTGATGTAGATAGGCTTTTTCCTACCAAGGCTATAGTAGGTCTCACTGTATCATGGACTTTCCCATCTATTTATGAATTTCAGAAGTTAGCCATTTTCCATTAATGTTTTATTTATCAACTCAATATCATCATCAATGGCATCATTTGTACAAATACAATCAAGCTTGTTGAATAGGCACCTTATCAAACCACGTTTGTATTGCATAGGGCAATAACTATAATAACTAAGATATTGACCTGTCCACGTTGGTTTTTACATAGTTCTGATAATCTTCGTCTTTTTATTGCATTACCGAAACATATCTTTCATGTCAAATGGTATTTAAGTTAAACAATCTTTGTGAATTAACTAACTAAGATATATTCATTTCTTTAGATGAGTTTTATAATTTAGTTCAGTCAGTTAGTTCTATTTATTTAACACATAGATATTGGTACGAGGAGGCACCAAATACATATGCACCACACAGATCTCATTTGATATGTGTGAGGGGTGTGATACTGCCCGGGTGCCCAAACCGAAGCGGGTGGTTTTCTTAGGGGGCCACTCCCCGAGCTTTCGACCTGAAGGTCTGATCCACGAGGCAGTGGAGCATGGTAAAGAGATGCAGTCCAATGGTAGCCGGTGACCAATAATTGGTTCATGTGCCATTTGTTCCCTCAGGGTACTGGAGCCCATGTGCACTATTGGTTTCGAATCAAGGTTTTCCAACTCCCATAGGTGGACTCTCCATGTCCACCAACCCGGTTGAAGCACCGAACATTCGCTTTTCGTCCTTTCAATTTCGTAAACAACACCCCCGCCTCGAGAAGGCACTTAGTCGTAAATAATGTAGGAAAATCTAAGGAATCAAAATAATAGTATCATTGATAATAGTGAAAGTCAATCATTTATTGTCATGTTTGTTGAACTTGGCAAAAGTGTAGTATCAGTTCAATTTTCTCCACCCCTATCACACATAAACTCATCAATTTAGCTATGGGAATTTGGTAAAAAAAATAAACTGAACAATAATATAGAAAATAATAAAAATGTAAATACAAGAAGTGTATTGTTCAAAGTGGAATAAATACAGTGAAATGATAATTTACTATGGATATTTAATTTATAACTCTATAGGAGAAGATAAAAGGGTTTTAAACCCTTTCCCCCCATTTCACTATAATGAGATTGTACTGCATATATATGCCCCCGAATGCCCTGGCATGGCCGAGAGTGGGGTGGGCCCGCCCTCCCTCTCCAAATGCTCTCACACGGCCACGCGTATACAGCCTCTGCCAGAGAAGTCCTACTCACTGTATTCTCGTGGCATTACTGTTGTTTACAGAAATGAGAGGACGAAAAGCGAATGTCCGGCGCTTTAACTGGATTCCAAACCAATGGTGCACATGGGCTCCAGTATCCTGCGGGAACAAATGGCAAAGAACCAATCGTTGGTCACCGGCTTCCATGGGACTGCATCTCCTCACGATGCCTCACTATCTTGTGGATCAGACCTTTAGGTCAAAGGCTCGGGGTGTGGCCCCCTGAGAAAATCACCTGCTTCAGTTTGGGCACCCGGGCAGTATCACAGCCCACACACACAAATATGGTGTGGCGCATATATATTTGGTGCCCTCTTGTACCAACGTTTATGTGTTGAAATATATATATATATATATATATATATATATATATATATATATATATATATATATATATATATATATATATATATATATATATATAAAGCCTTTTAAAAGAACATTTATGAATTTCCTCTCTTTTTTTCTTCTCTTTTCTATTAAATTAAAAGATCAAAATAATCGAAACCATTCGAAATCAATTACTAATAATAAATCTTTAAATAATGAAAATCATTTAAATTTAGTAAATAATTTATCGAATAATATAAATAAGATCCATTTAAATAATAATAATAATAATAATGAATATATCAATTCATCATTAAATAATGAAAGTGAATTTGAAGAATTATTCAAACAGTTACCAATAATACGTAATGAGATAGCTTCATTAAATTCTACAGATAGATATAATATGGCTGAAAAAGTAAGTTATAAATTGTTATCATTTTACTAATTTGTAAAGCATTCAAGTTTTATTTTGAGATAAATTTGATTAACATTTAATTGATTTTTAAGAGAAAGCCGATAAATGTATACTATTAAGACATGAAATAAAGGCTTGGTGGTATTTATTATTTATTTACTATTTATTAAAGCACATAAATATTGATACAAATGGGCATAGAATACATATGTGGCACACAAGTCAACTTGATTTGTGTGTGGGTTGTGATACTGCCCGGGTGCCCAAATTGAAGCAGTTGATTTTCTCAGGGGATCACACCCGGAGCCTTCGACCTTAAGGTCTAGTTCACAAGGCAGTGAAGCCACGTGAGGAGATGCAGTCCAATGGTAGCCGGTGGTCAGGAATATGTTTGTAAGCCATTTATTCCTTCAGGATCCTGGAGCCCATGTGCACCATTGGTTTGGAATCAAGGTTTTCCAACTCCCTTAGGTGAACTCCGTATCCACCAACCCGGTTAAAGCGCCGGACATTCGCTTTTCGTTCACTTGATTTCGTAATTAACAGTAATGCCGCGAGAAGGCAGTGAATAGGACGTCCTTGGCAGACGCTGTAAGAGAGTATTTTGCGAGGTAGAGCTGACTCTCCCCACTCTCGGCCGTACCACGGTATTTAGGGGCTTAGTGGATGGATAAGGCACTCGATTTTTAACTACTAGGTCTCAGTCTCGAACCTAACTTCAGCTGTTTCGGTTCACTCAGACGAGTTGTATAACTTGGTCTCGTACATGAAGTGTAGCTCAAAGTCGAGCATTCTATTCTGTATTTCATGAATTACTTACTTACACCTGTTTCTCGTTGTGCAGGAGCAGCTCATCAACATTTTCCATCCAACCCTGTTCTGGGCAATCCTTTCCAGTTGTTATTGATCCTTTTCATATCTGCTTCTATTTCCCGACGTAATGTGTTCTTCGGCCTTCCTCTTTTCCTCTTCCCTTCAGGATTCCAACTTAGGACTTGCTTCATGATACAGTTTGATGATTTGCGTAATGTATGTCCTATCCATTTCCATCGTCTTTTCCTAATTTCTTCAGCTGGAAGCTGGGTTGTTCTCTCTTCCACAGTAAGTTGTTGCTGTTGGTATCCGGCCAATGGATGTTGAGTATCTTGCGTAGACAACTATTTATGAATACTTGTACCTTCTTGATGATGGTTGTAGTAGTCCTCCAAGCTTTAGCTCTGTATAGTGGAACTGTCTTAACGTTCGTATTGAAGATTATGACTTTGATATTGGTTGACAGACAGTTGTTTTGAGTTCCATATGTTCTTCAATTAGTTACATCACATTAAAAGGTAGTCAAATGAGATGAATCAGTTTAAAAAAATCTTATTGTCATACTTTTCTAGATAACCTATCTACTTTTCCATAGCTCCCTATTTCTCTCTTTTTATTCTTCATTTTCTCTTGCTATATTTTCTATAGTCTCCTCAAGGTTTTTGCATACATAGTTACACTTGTTTGTTAAATTTCGGTAAAGAAGAATTTAACGCTTGAGGAAAATTTAAAAGTAGTTGAAAAAATGTGTGAATCACATATATCATTGATGTTATTACAATCTATCAAGGTGTTTATAATATTGTCGTTGATAGATTCACATTGTAGTCAGTTGGTAATCCTATGAAATTATAACAATTTTTATCACACTCCTAAGTAGTTTACTTTTTCAAGCGGAGATAGTAGACTGGATAAGTCAACGCACCTGTGCTTACCTATCATTTCAACGTTGGAGAATAGGTAAGAAATTACAAATAAGGCATGCTAAAGTATGTAGTTGTTTATACTTCTAGTCAAGATCTCAGCCTATATGTCCTTATTTGAGTTAGAACGACAAATGTATTAACGATTTGACAGTTATAACTTTCTGCTTATTTAAACTTTCGATTTATGGTAGTAAGTGTATATTGTACTTGAAAATCGAATCGGAGAACATAACATCAAAGCGTATCAGAATCATGTCCATTTATATGGTATATTAATCTTTACAATCATATGTATATTATAGATTTTCTTTACTTATAAATAATATGCAGATATTATCTTCACTTAGTTATTTGATTATTTTCAGAATGGGTTTTGTGGAGATTTTTTTTAGAAATTTCACAGGTTGAAACCATGAGCCATTTGAAGTTAGACCACCATGGAAAACCTGGAAGCATTGGACGGCCGTTTCGTCCTAGTGTGGGACTCCTCAGCAGTGCGCATCCACGATCCCGCACCCCGCCATATTCGAACCCAGGACCTACTGGTTTCGCGCGCGAGCACTTAACCACTAAACCACTGAGCCGGCATCCAACGGTGTTAATGTCTAACTTCAACCAATCCACGAAGTTGCGCCACCGTACACCGTTGTCTTCAGTGAGCTGATATCTCACAACAGACCTAGTTAAACTCCACTGGTAACGGCTTCTCACTAGGACTCCAGAAGTATCTCCTGAAGTCAGTCACTAGTGAGCAGTTGATTATTATCAGAATGGGTTTTGTGGAGATTTTTTTGTAGAAATTTCACAGGATCGTGGATGCGCACTGCTGAGGAGTCCCATACTGGGACGAAACGGCCGTCCAGTGCTTCCAGGTTTTCCATGGTGGTCTAGCTTCAACTGACTCATGATTTCAACCTGTGCTATTAAATTATTTGTTGTAATTATTTTTTCTTATCAATCAATTTATTTTATAGATAACATGTAAAATTTGGAGAGCTATTGGTGGTTCCGAGGAAGAGATTTCTGGTCTACAACATTCAGATTCTGACTAATTTTTTAAAATTTTCTTCTATGGAAGAAAAATAATCGAGAACAATTCAGTCAATACTTTTCTCATGTTCTGTTTTCTTAGAAAAAACAACATTTTCAGCCATATTTGTTACCACATGTTATTATGAAAGTAATCAAGTATTGATTAGAATTATGTAGTATTAAAACTTTTTTTTTGTTCTCGATAATTTCTTTTTGTTTATTTTTCTTTTAACTTACCAATACTTTATCATTTCACTTTGCACTGTTGCAGATGCATACACTCTTTGTGTTCTCCCAAATTCTAATTTCCTGATTCCTCCTTGTCTCTTTTTCTCTTCCCAAATTTACATTATATTCTTTAAATAACATCTCGAAACCCTAATCTTTCCGGTTACTCCTTATACTCTTACTACCTCTACCACTGGGATTTGAATCGACAACTGCATCTCTGTGCTAATGTGGTATGGCAACTCGAACTGATGTACGTACGTACGAAGTTCTAAGTTGTTACTGACTGACTGACTGGCTTTGAACTTTTAATGATGTTATTTTTCACAATATGAATTTATTCGTTCTTCTTATTTTTTTCGGGGTATTTCTCACTTTTCTATTCCATATTTTTGTATATTCGGCTGGAATTATGTCAAATGATTGCATATATATATATATATATATATATATATATATAAATTTAATTACTTGGTAGTACAATGTTGAGTTTCTTTTTTTCTTCTAATAAATTGTTAATTTATATTTTTCAGTTGAATACGTTGATGTTTTCCATTAAGGATTAATTTTCAAAAATAACTTATTATATAATGACAGAAACCAGCTTTTTTTCATAAGAAGTTAAGATACAGTCAAGTATTTAAATCTCATAACTATTTGTTATGTCCGCGTTGTTTCATTATTTATACAATGAAACCACTTCAATTCTCACGATATAAAGTAAGAATACGGAAGACTGGTGCAACTAAAGATTTACTAACTTTAAACCTGACCGTTGCTTCTACCTTGACGTGGTGGTCGGGTTTGTCTATCATGACAAACCAATCGGGCTATACGAACTGGAACATCCGTTCCTCAAGGTCCTATTACACCAGGCAGGTCGGTTGGGAAGCGCTAGGACTATAAGCAACAAACCCAACGTCTGAGGGCGAAGTTGTGCTTCTGACTGTACAGAGGTGTTACGTCAGTAAGGCGTTTCCCTCAAAGGAAGAGTGGAGTTAGGGAAGGTCGGCCCTAAAAATGCACACCTCACCTTATCCCGCGGATATCCATCTCCGTCGGTAAGGTTTCAACAAGTGCGGAACTAACATAAAAAGGTGTGTGACCGGTCTCAAGCGTTTGTCTCTTGGGCACTGTGGTCACTCTTTCAGGTCAGTAAAACCAACTTTAACCCCATTCCCTTCCAGGTACCTCTATTAATCCCAAAACACGACGACCCTAGTCGAAAATATACTCATATATTGAATATACACCCATTTTGATTATTAGTTAGGATGAAATCACATATATGAAAACAGTTCAGGGTTATGACAAATGCCATGCTGCTTATCATGTTGAACCTAGTTTACATTAACTTAATTCAATGAATGTCGTATCCTGAATAAGCATCCCACTCAAATAAATAAATGTTATAACGAATAAAATATAAAATTCGGAAAGCAAAATAAATATTACTCTTACTAATCATCATATTACAATAAAAATGTAAGTAATATTACACAGAAATCACAATAAGCAAAATAATGTGGTTTTGTCCTTTCACTGTCATATCAGTATCTAAATGACTTCTTGGTGCATTTTGGGGTTTTTGAATTGATATAATGTATCCTTGTGCTTAAGGGGTAGTTAAGATATAGAATATGTTGTTTATTTGATTGTCAATGAATCATTTTACATGTGAATTTATTAAATATAATCATATTCACTGATTTCAAATCGATGCTCGTATTAAACTTGTGATCTGTCATAGATCTTCATTCTAAGATAAAGTGTTTATTTGAGTTAAGCTGCTGAGGTTATCTCGTGCATTTAGTTCATCTGCCTCATATGGTTCGGTAGAGAATAAAACTGTGATCTGACATAATGTCTGGTATTTTTCTTCCAGGTTTTCCAATGTTTTCTCACTGTAAAATGTTAAAACACTATGGTTGTTATTTCAACTAGGATTTTGAACTTAATAAGTTGACATCTTGGTTACTCCTTTTTTAACAGTTTGTCCTTATCATTCCCTAAGGGAGATGTCGTTAACTGTTGGGGAAGCCTAGAATATTTCTAGAGGGGCCCTGAAAACGCCGGGAAACATCTTGTCCAATCAGCATTGAATAGGAGTTTCTCAGAAACATGTAGAAAGTGAGGAGTCACGTTTGTGATTGGATGACTACATATCCTACTACTATGTTTAGTAGGGTTCCAGAAGCCCAAAGCCATTTGGAATGTTATAAGTACCCTCGACTTTGTGTGCATAAACTAACTTCGGAATAATGCGTTTTCTGCACATTTCACGCCTTTTCTCTCATGTTCAAGTTGTGTAGATTTAGTCTGGGGTTACTAGAAGAGCCTAGGAAACCGATTCAGCCGTTCAGTCAGAATATTCATCGTTAACTGTTGGTTTGTAGAGAAATATTTGATGAGGGGAGCTAATTAGTACATTTCTGTTGTATTACGTTTCCCATAAATTTAATTGATATTGAAGCGATTTTAAAATCAATAGAAAAATCTATTTCATTAGTCATGTTACTGTGGCAAGTCATATACAGTTCATTGATTTCCTTACAATTACATAGCATATGAATAGAAATGACTGCCTTTCAACTCACAACTTTGAAGGGTTTATTAAATTTGATCATATGGTTGCAATATGGCCATTAAATGAAAAACGCGATCAACAAATGGGTTTTACTTTGTGTGTGTGCGCGTACGCGCTAAAATCCAGTCTTTTAGTTTCAATGAAAAAATGTGCTGATGGGACAATTTTGCAAATCGCAGCAGTTAGCGTATTATGTCCAGAAAATTAGTCTCAGCCTTCTGCCATATGAATCCTTATATTTCAAACATACTGAGTTTATATACCAGTCAAGTAGACCACAAAGTAGCATAAAATAAAAAATAACATTTGTACAAAATTTGGCCATATATGACTGTGAATGTGGGAGGTAATGATTAATAGACAGGGAATTATTCAAGAATGGAAAACCGTATAACAACGGTTCATATGTTAAAATAAAGCTTATGATAAGAGAGACATGAATATGAATAGCTTAGTTAATTAACAGTTATACGACAAAAATATACGCACGGTATTGGTTCATAAATAGATCCCAAAAAAATTACGACTCATTATTCTTATCGGGACATAACAGGTTGCTACTAAGCACTGCCCATTCTTTTGATGTCCGCCTACGATTCCATGCGTAATTTATTATTTTTTGATCTGCCTTTTTTCCTTCATCTTGAGGACTTCAAGTTAGTTCGTTTCCCGTGAAGAAGTTTGGTGATTTCCTTAAAGTATGACTTATCCCAACTCCAGCGGCTTCTGATTTCCTCTTCATATAGAAGCTGGTTTGTTCTCTCCCACAGTCGATTATTGCTTATGGTATCTGACCAATGAATCTGGTGTGTTATGTGTAAACAGGTGTTTATAATTCCCTATATCTTTTTGATAGTGGTTGTAGTAGTTCAAGTTTTAGCTCCGTACAATAGAACTGTTTTAATATTGGTACTAAATTTTCTAAGTGGCGTTAGCTGACTGTTGATCTGAGTTCTCAATGTTCTTCAATTGTGAGAATGCTACCCTTGCTTTTTCAATCCGTCTTTACATATGTATTGGATATGCTTATTTATTGATGATACAGTCCATGAATGTCGGTCTAGCGATATGCGTATGCACACGAACCATCAGCCTAACCAATCGAGCGAACTCCCTACACACTGACAACGGCACGATCGCAACTACACTAAAGATGGCAACGGTTGACAACGCTATTATAGACAAAAGTTTGAAGTCAAACTTTCGGTGTCGGGAACTGATGTTATCGATATGAAATTAATGTTCGTTCATCGCACTTGTGGCATTTTTTGAGCAACAATATAAACTGAACCTCCATTATACATCTGCTCTCACTTTGTTTGATTAGTGTGCCTTAATACAATGTCTATATATTCATCAAACTTTAGACGCTGCAGTACTAACCGATTGGTAACGAATATGTTCATCTTGTCTATTTATTTAAATGTATAACTGGATGCTACATCATTCATTGTTTTTAAACATCATTCGGTTACTACAATTAATATGCATTACCATCACTCTGTAAATCAGAACATAGAGTTTATAGCTAGTCTGTCAATGATGCACTCACGTTTGTCACATCCATGTCAGTTTCATGTTTTAGTATTTTCCTCATACCTCAGTGCGGTTTCTCAACAAACGGGGTCGAGCATATTTTCGAGATAATTCCTAAGTCTACACGTATCAATCTCCCTAAAAACCGTTATTTAATAAGTCTCAGTGGTGTATAAATTTCAGAAGGCAATACGAAGTGTTGATTACAGTTTATTTATAAACAGGGCAGATTATTAAACCGAGCGAATTTGAGCAGAAATGTTAATGTGAGCAAATGAGTGAATACAAAGGCAAATGAATTGATAAGATTCAAGCATATATATATATATATATATATATATATATATATATATATATATATATATATATGACGGACTGCAACTTCCTATGTTGCTGATCTTTAACATCTTCGCTGCTAGCATTAGTTGGCCTGTAGCGCTGGTCCTCAGAATTGGAATCAGTCTCGGAAGTGCGGAGAATCTCGGCCTTCACTTTGAGGCATCATAACTCTTATCTGAAAACCCTTCAGCTCCCAGGACAGCATTTAAATAATTTGAATGACTTTTATGGTTGACGTTTTTTTGTCAACATTCTGTATCATGGGATGGGATTTCTAACCCTATGTCCAACGCCCTTCCTTTACCCAGACTCGGGATGGGCTGTAACCTTGGAACTGCTCTAAGTGAGTTTGGTAAACGGTACTATTAAGATAAGCAACATGAAAGAAATATTTTACAAACCTTGAATCATGAGGTTTCAAGGTTTCTATAACGCCATTAAAGGCATAGTCAAAGGAAAGAAGTGCCATCCAAATAACTGGATAACAATCAAATCACAATACACACTTTAATTTTGAGGACAGCACATGACTATCACTGACAAGTTTTAACCATTGACGAAATAAAACAAGGTTTATGCATTAAAAACAGGTGATATATTCAGAATAAACAATGTTTCAGCGAATAACACACATAACTGGGACTATGAAAAAAAACAAAAGAAGTGCTATTACATGTAAGAAAATGGATCAAAAGATCGGGTAAATATAGAAAGGCTTAAGATCGACGTTACAGTAGAAAATCATCATAAACTAATTCCAAAAATGTTTGAGTATAACACAAACTACTGAATACTGTAAAGTATTATGGTGTATTACTCAAAGGGAAAGAATATTAAGTAAAGGATGTTGGTACAAAACAGATATAACATCATTTTAGATCATGTGTAGAATGTCGAACACTTAGATAGAAATGACAAACTAAGTGATGTAGTAAAGGTGAAGTGGTATTTAGCGGACATAAAGTAAAATTGTGAGCTGCTGAA